CTGTCTGTCCTCCGTCCGTTGGGGGTGAGTGTGCTCTTGGCACGGACGTCCTTGAGGAAAGGCATGAGGACTTTGAGTGCTTTGCAGCCGCTGTACCTCATCTCGTGTCCATGCTGATTGCATCTGAGGGAGATCCGGATGCACCAGACATCCCGACCCCGCGCTCTTACGCAGAGGCGATAGAGGGTCCCTACTCCTCTCAGTGGCAGTCAGCCATGGACGCAGAGATGGCATCCTGGAAGTCCACAGGCACCTACGTTGACGAGGTTCCCCCTCCTGAGGCGAACATCGTCAGTGGCATGTGGATTTTCAGGGTGAAGCGGCCGCCGGGTTCTCCGCCTGTCTTCAAGGCGCGTTACGTTGCTCGAGGCTTCAGTCAGCAACAGGGAGTTGACTTCTTCCAGACCTTCTTCCCGACCCCGAAGATGACCACTCTTCGGGTTCTGCTGCATGTCGCTGCTCAGCGTGACTACGAGCTTCACTCTCTTGACTTCAGCACTGCTTTCCTACAGGGCAGCCTGCACGAGGAGATCTGGCTGCGCCGCCCACCTGGCTTCACTGGGTCGTTTCCTCCTGGTACCCAGTGGAGCCTTCGGCGGCCAGTCTACGGTCTCCGCCAGGCGCCCCGTGAGTGGCACGACACACTGAGGACTACGCTTGCGGCTCTTGGTTTTGCTCCTTCTACTGCTGACCCGTCGCTGTTTCTGCGCACCGACACTTCGTTGCCGCCGTTCTACATCCTCGTGTACGTCGACGACTTGGTCTTTGCCACCGCTGACACTGAGGGACTCGCCCACGTAAAGTCGGAGCTGCAGAAGAGACACACGTGCACAGACCTGGGTGAACTACGCAGCTATCTTGGCTTGCAGATCACGCGGGACAGAGCACGGGGCACCTACCTTGACTCAGTCACACATGGTGCAGCAGGTCCTTCAGCGCTTCAACTTCACGTACTCCTCGCCTCAGGCCACTCCTCTATCTACTAGCCACTCGCTCTCAGCTCTGCCTTCGGATGAGTCCGTAGAGCCGAGTGGCCCGTACTTAGAGCTTGTTGGCTGCCTCATGTACCTGATGACCTGCACTCGACCTGACTTGGCATACCCTCTTAGCATCTTGGCACGCCATGTTGCTCCTGGGAGACACCGACCAGAGCACATGGGTGCAGCGAAGAGGGTGTTGCGCTACCTGTGCAGTACGTCGGGCATGGGGCTAGTGCTTGGAGGACGGGCTCGAGTTGTCCTCACTGGTCACGCAGACGCTTCTTGGGTTGACGACTTGGCTACAAAGCGGTCGTCACAGGGTTACACCTTCAGCCTTGGCTCCGGTTCTGTTTCGTGGCGGTCTACCCGCTCGTCTTCTGTTCTCAGCTCCAGCTGTGAGGCTGAGATCTACGCAGGGGCCATGGCTGCACAGGAGTTACGCTGGCTCACCTACCTGCTGACCGACTTGGGAAAGGTGCCTCGTTCTCCTCCAGTTCTGTACGTCTACAACAAGGCCATGCTGGCCTTGTGTTAGGAGCACAGACTGGAGCACAGAACGAAGCACATTGCCCTTCGCTACTTTCTTGCCCGAAAGCTGCAGCAGCGCGGTCAGCTTCGTCTTGCTTACGTGGCCTCTCGGGCCAACACTGCTGATATCTTCACCAAGGCACTTCCGCCTTGTGATCATCAGCGTTTTTGTACTGTTCTAGGCCTTGTGCCTACCTTGCCTCACCTGCTCACTTCTTGACTCTGCTTGTACTGTGATCTATATATCTATACCTGCATGCTTTCACTTGCTAGTTTTTTATCACTGTCCTGTTTGTTCTAGTTTTTTATCACTGTCCTGTTTGTTCTATGCTATATAACTGTGCATGTGAACGGGCCTTATGGCCGTCTGCTTGTGCTCAGAATGTGTGGTGACGTTGTGATCCACCCTGAGCTTGCTTTGCTTCTCTTGACTGGTCTTGTGACCCCCCTTTTTGCTCTCCCCCACTTTGCCTATGGGGGTGTGTCAAATTTATACTCTACGGTTTGTTTAGGCTGTAGTGGGGTAGTAACTATGGGGTACAGTAAGTTTAGGGTTTCCTACTTGTACCCACCACTTTTCTAGTGCATACACAATTGTTCATTCTGACACCACACACCTGGTGCAGGGTATAGCTGTATCCCATACTCGTGGCCGACTTCTTGTTGTTCCACATGTGCAGGAAGTCAACTGCTAGGGCCACCAGAGGGCACACAGAGGAAGAGGAGGGGGAAGGGAGAATATGAAGCGGGCTGTAGATTGCCGTTGCCGTTGTGCAGAAAGTCAGCTTCCAGGGCCACTTGGTGAGGATCAACACAAGCAACGAGGTGCACGGATGGATAGGTGTGGAGGAGGCTCAAGGCTCAAAAGAACACTTGAGGTTGCCTCCTTGCTATTCCAGATGTGCAGGAAGCCACCTGCCAAGGTCACCTGGTGAGGATTGGCACGGGCAATGAGGTCGAAAGGGCAATGAGCATGGACAACTGATAGATGAAGGAACATGCAAGGTGCAGAGTCGACCTGTGGACATAAATCAAGGTGCTTCTTGAGTTTATTCAAATGTCCCCCAAGTCATACACCTTATCCTACTCAAATACCCTATCCAAGTCAAATACCTTATCCAACTCAAATACCTTGTCCAAATGGAATTCCTTTATCCAACTCAAATACCTTTTCCAACTCATATACCTTATCCAACTCAAATACCTTATCCAGCTCAAATACCTTGTCCAAACTTGTATACCCTTTCCAACTTGAACACATTTCTCAGCTCAAATACCTTATCCAATTTAGGTACCTTATCCATCTCATACCTTATCCATCTCATCATAACTTATCAAACACGTGTTGCACATAGGTCATGGACACGAGTCCTACCAACCAATACCATTTTTGACCATATCTAACACTAACTCATGCATTAATACTCCCATACCTGATTGGAACCATACCGCACCACTCATGTGCTCGCCAAATGTGCTGTTGCCACATGACATTGATTGGAGCAACGCAGGGTGGCATCAATTGGAGCAATGAGGGGTGACATGGTCTGGAACAATGTGGGAGTGGCATAAGATGGAGCGATGCGGGATGGCATGATTTGTCAAGGAGATAGAGTAGTGGGGGAAGAGATGTTGCCATGCTGCACAACAGATGCCTTAAGAATTCTCAAAAGTAAGCTCGCAACAACAACTCACCATCTATCGATGTTGTAGCAGCCCTCAGTGCCTAGCCCGGAGCACCGCTGGTGACCAAGCCAGAAGGCCGATATGACGCTCTTTATGGTGTTTACCCCGTAGAAGGTATTGCTGCCTGCCTGTGCCTGCCACTAGTAGTCAGATCCTTGCAGTGATGCTGGCCAAGGAGAGAGAGAGAGAGAGAGAGAGAGAGAGAGAGAGAGAGAGAGAGAGAGAGAGAGAGAGAGAGAGAGAGAGAGAGAGAGAGAGAGAGAGAGAGAGAGAAAGAGAGAGAGAGAGAGAGAGAGAGAGGGAGAGAGAGAGAGAGAGAGAGAGAGAGAGAGAGAGAGAGAGAGAGAGAGAGAGAGAGAGAGAGAGAGCACGAGCACTTTGAAATTGCATGCCCAGGCTAACGTGCTTGCTAGGAAGTTCCTGGTGCTTTGCCTGTACCTATATAGACATCAATACAGGTCTGCTTGAGAGACAGCGCTTTTCAAGCCATGCTCTTGTTGCGGCTTAGTTTGTAGAATGTGTTGTTGCCCGCCTGTGCCTGTCACTGGTAGTCCGACCACTCATGGGAGAAAACCGGATATGGGACAGAGTGCTTTGAGAGTGGATATACTACGGATGTAGATGTTTGCCTGTGCTTGGTGCAACCCTAGAAATGATGGGAGAAAACATATGAGGGGCAAGGAGAGAGCATTTCGAGACATGCTCTGGTTGTTGTGGCTTAGTCCGTAGAATGTGTTGTTGTTTGCATGTGCTTGTCTGCCACTGGTAGTTTGATCCTTGCAGTGACGGTGGGGTAACGGATGTGGGAAGATGAAGGAATGGCTGGGAACATGGTGCGGATATAGTACACTTGGTAAGCTGTTGCCCGTCTGCACGAACGACTCCAGAAGTGATGGCAGTTAAGCAAGGCTTCAATATGGGAATCAGCAAGTGTTGTGAGGCAATAACGCTTGTGTGGCCATTCAACAACAAAGGCATTGGATGTACATTCAATCGTACATTGAGGGCTTTTACATGTGCATTCAGTACACTCACTTGTACACTTAATGCTTTTGCTGTTGTCTTACGAGTGAATGTACATTCGGTGCTTTTGTTGTTGCCGTATGAGTGAATGTACATTCAATGTATATCATTGTGGCCCACTTGCTCCTCCCACTCCTACTCCGATGGACCTATTTCTGTAGTGATTGAGGGGGGCGAGGAAGTGCGTTGAGTCAGGCTACGAAGTGTTTGACACCCAAATGGTACCTTTGCACTCGCTCTCATCCTCCTCCCCACCCTCTCTAGCTCGCTCCCCCCGCTGCTCGCTGCGGCGCTCTTAGCGCTGCTCACGCTTCTCATCATTATGCGCACGAGGATGCGCGAAGGGGCGGCACATAAGGGGGTGCTGGGGCGGAAGCACAAGTCGTCGGAGGATGGGGGAGGAGGGGTTGGTGGTGATACGGGCACTGCTGCTTCCGCCACCACCGCCAGATTAGCGCACTGTCTTATCAACTCCTAAGCTAGAAGCGCTTCCGGGAATAACGTACCTGCCTTTTATGGAACATCTCGCGTAAGCTTGTAGGGGGGATAATGGACCTCTCGAAAAGGCCTGTAGAGGGGAAAAGGGAATGGACGCGGATGCATGTGGGTGCATTAGGGGGAAAATCTAGATGGGGGGCCGGAGCAAGGGAGACTTTAGTGGAATGGAAGGAAAGGAGGAGGGGAGGAGAAGGAGGAGAGGGTGGACCAGGGCACTAAAGATGTGTGTGACCTGCTTGGATGACTATCAAACTGGGGACCGTCTGAGAGTGCTGCCCTGCGGTCATGGTGAGCTTTCCCTTTCCCAACCCATTGACTAAAAAATAGGGTTACGCAAGGCACTAGAGACGCGTACGATCTGCCTGGACCAATCGGGCGACCCTGCGGACCCTGTCTCAAATGGTGCTACCCTGCGGACATGGTGCTACCCTGTAGACATGGTGCGCTTGTCCCTCAGAGTTCCATGCGGAGTGTGTGGACGAGTGGTTGACCACCAAGCAGCTTCCGCAGATTGAAAGACTTTAGAGTCCACTCGTTCCCCTCCTTCCCTTCTTCCCCTTTTCCTTTCGACTCCCTTGTTAGTTCCATGCAGAGCGTGTGGCTGAGTGACGAGTGGCTTTTGAGACAACTCACCCCCCTCCATTCCATCCCCCCCTTCCCACCTCTGTCCCCCAAAGTTCCATGCGAAGTGTGTGGACGAGTGGCTTCTGAGTCAACTCTCCCACCCCTTCTCGTCCCTCCTTTCTTTACCCTTGCTCCCCTCTGTCCCCCAGAGTTCCATGCAGAGTGTGTGGACGAGTGGTTGTCCACGAAGCAACCCCTCTGCCCCATCTGCAAGGGTGACGCACACGCACCCTCCACCTCCCCTCCTCACACCAGCAGCAGCAGCACTGCTGGGACCAACATTGCCGCGCATCCCTCTGTTTCCACACCTCCTTCACTGGGCCAACTCTCCTCATCCTCCTCCCCCATTTCCTCAAAATTAGAGACCTCCTCTCCGTCCTCTCGTTCCTCCTCCCCTCGCACACAATTCCACCCATCCACCTCATCGTTGCTTCTCACCTCTTTGCTTCCGAACCTACCCTGGCTAAGGCACCCTGCTAGCTCCCGAGCCTCCTCGTCTGCTCTGGCCGTACCTAGCCCATCTGCTGCCAAGATTGGAGAAGGTGACATCCGGCGGCCATTCCTCCTGTTTCCTGGCCCGGCTGCTTCTCCTTCCTCTCCCTCCCATTTAGTTGCAGACTCAGCACCCATGCATGCTGAGCTGTCACACCAAACGGATTTGATGAGCATCGGATGATGGTGCATCTCACACCATCTAACACCAGGGTCATACGTGTAACCACCATTGCAAGCATGAAGTGATTTGCTGCTGACTGCAACTAGCCAGAGAAAGACAAACAACAAAAGCTTCTACTGGTATCTGCACTAACAAGGCACACGATATTTATAAGTCTTGTCAGAAATACAGCCACAACCTACTGGGTGCCTGTAGCTCTGGCATTATGATACGACACGTCTCAATGAAATAGCGTGGATTTTTATGTACACCAATTTACTCGTAAATGTGTAAGAAGAATCGCAGTTGCAGCTGACGGATAGGCACTGTATGGGACAAAGACTGGGGTGTGATCGTCCAGTCCCACCTGATGGACAACAATAACGAAGTAATAAGAAGAAGGAAAGGTATACCCCAAAGGTATTAACAAAAGTAAAGCTCCCTAAGAAAATCCCTTGATGTTGTGTTACAAGTGCAATTGAGCGAGCGAACGAGAATTGCACTATCGAAGCAAAACAATACATTGGGCGAAGGCATGAGCGAAGAATATATAGCAAAGCTACAGTGGAAACGATAATGCACGAAAATGGGGTGTGCGACGGGCTTAGTGCCGATGTTGGGAATTGTCGAGGCGAAGGCGGAGGTCCAGAGCGCGGGTTACCAACCGAACCGTGAGGTTGGGTTACGTCGTGAACGGTGGCGGGACCAGTAGTCGAGGCGAGTGTCGCGAGTGGTAACGGTTTACTGTTGGGTGCTGTTGGCGGGAACAGTGGTGTACACGCTGAGCAGGGACGCGAAGTAATAAAAATGTATTTTCCTTACACTACCCTCCCCCTTCCCCCCCCCCCCCTCTTATGGAGGTCCGTCTTACGAAAGCGCGTGTACATCCTGGAAGTTTCGGCTACGCAGGTACTCTGTGAGGACAGGGTGGTTTTGGATTCTGTCCAGAGGAACCTAGTTGTCTTTGGTGGGCGTGTGGTCTTTCCAGCGGATCAGGAATTCGATTCTGCGGGCTCCACGTGGGTCATGAACTCGGTGGCTCAATATTTTTTCGAGCGTGATGATTGGCTCTGTTGGCAGTCGTGTCACGCTGTTTGGGCGGTTGCAAGGTAGTTGGCTGGTGGATGGGACGTATGGGCGGAGGAGGCTAACGTGGAATGACGGGCTGACGTACTAGTCACCAGGGAGGAGGAGGTGGGTGGTGACGGGGGTGATCATGTGGCTGATGCAAAATGGCCCATAATATCCGGGGTGGAGTTTTGGGGTAATGGGCAGGCGGAGGTTCTAGGTGTCGAGTGAAACGAGGTCGTCGTGTGTTAAGTGACGGGGCGGCGGTGGCGGTCGGCGTTGCGTTCAGCGATGATGTTTGACTTTTTTATTGCTTCAGCTGCTTGGGTCCGTGCTGCTTGTAATTTTTCTGCGAACTGTTGTTCGCGTGGTACTGGATTGTCGGCATTCGAGGTCATGGGTACTGTCGGGTCTTGTCCGTAGTTCAAGTAAAATGGTGACTGTTGGGTTGTGGCGGACGGCGAGTTGTTGTATGCGAACTCGATGAGTGGCAGTTGCTGTTCTCACGTGGACGGGTCGTCGCATGTGGCTCGGATGAGCTGGTTCATGGTCTGATTTGTCCGTCCTGTCTGTCTGTCGGTTTCGGGGTGGTACGATGAACTGAACTGTAGTCGCGCGCCGAACTGCTGCCACAGGTTCCGCTAGAAGTTGCTGGTGAATTTCGTGTCGCGGTCGCTGATGGTCGATGCCGGTGTCCCATGCAGTCGAACAACGGTGGAGATGAAGAGGCAGGCTGTTTCTTCGGCCGTGATTGATTTCTTGCAGGCTGCGAAGTGTGCCATTTTTGTCAGCCGATCGACGACGACCAGGATCGCATCGTTCCCACTTGCTCTAGCCGGTAACCCCGTAACGAAGTCCATCGTCACCTGCTGCCAATCATGCTCTGGGGGTGGTATCGGCTGCAACTGCCTTGTCGGCAGCTTCGGTGACAATTTCATGAGTTGGCAGGTGAGACACGATGCCACGTGTCGTTGCATGTCGGCCAACATTTCGGGCCAGTAGTATTACCGTTGCAACTGCTGTCGTGTTTTCTCTACTCCGAAATGTCCTGACGTAACCTCGTCGTGTGCCTCCTGTAGTAACAACTCCCTTAGTAAAGTGTAGCCCGGTACCCAAATGCGGTCGGTGCCGGTTTTTACGTAATAAATCCCTTTTGCTGCTGCGAACTACTACGAATTTCCTCCAGTGAAGAAGGGGTCTGTCTTATAATTGTGGGTAAATAGTCCTGTAAGTAGTGGGCTGGACTGGGCGACTAGTATGGCGTAAATTTAGGCAGTGGGGCGGGTCAGTGCGTCAGCGATGTTTGATGCCCCCTTTTTGTAGGTGACCGCCCCGATCGATAGCGTGAATTGGTACTGTGACTCGGTGAGGGTCGGTGAGGTCGGGCGAGCAGGTTGTCTCGTCAGTAGTTGGCCCAATTTCTACTCACTGCTGGCGTTTCCCTGCTGCTGAGACTCCCTACCCTCCTCTGCTCCGCGGCGTCTTAGCTCCTCTGGGCATTCGCTCTTCGGATGGCCCGGCCTTTTGCAAGCGAAGCAACGCCCCCTGAATGGCGCAGCAGCTGCATTCGCCGCAACGTCGTGTACGGTGGCGTGCTCGATCATGCCCCGAGGGCGATGTCCATAGTAGGACCCCGGTCTCAATCGGTGTAGAATATCGATTTTCTCCGCGAGCGCGAGGATTTCGTTGAAATTTGATAGCCCGCGTAGCATAATCTTGTGCGAAATGTCTGGGTTTTAGCCCTCAGACGTAATGGTCCACCCGCTCCGCCTCGTGCATGTAGCCGACTTGCTCGTACAGAGCGAGAAAAACGCTGGTGTAGTCTTGGACCGACCCAAGCTGTCGCCAAGTACACAATTTCTGACGCGCCAAAATAGAAGCCACGATCGACTCGAAGTGCGCCCGAAGCCCTGCGCACCACGCATGCCACGTGCTGCACTAGGCGGTTTCGCAGAACGAACTCCAAGTGACGGTTGGACCCATGGGCTCTTCCTCTTGCAACGACGGCTCGTAGGCGCATGGCGACGTCACTATGACTCACCACCAGTCCATGGCGGGGCCCTCAGCAGCGAAACAGCATAGCGAATCTTCGCTGCGTCCGACTCGACGTAATTCGCGTCGAAAAAAAACGTTCATCGTGAAGACCCACGATTGAATCGTCGGACCTCCTCGTTGGCTATGATCGAAGCAGGGCGGGCGCTGCGGTTTGAGCGGCAGCGGCTCGATGATGTCGTTGTTGCCGATCGTTGCCGCAAATTCGACGTGACGACGGGCTTCGGGAGGCCCGCTCATGCTTGGTGCAGCCCTGTTCCTCTCCATGCCGGGCATTGATTGGGCGGCACCATCACTGGCTGCGCCTGAGCGATGTCCCACACTGTCGATTTGTGCCGGTGTGCCTGATGAGATGACAATCGGCTCCTCCGATTGCACAGGTCCATTTGCAGGTGCTTGTATTGGTGCTGGTGCATTCACTGTCGATTGTTGGCGAGCGGAGTCGCGTTCCGCCGTAAGTGCCGCAATTTCGAGCGCCGAATCTTCGAGTTGGCGCACGAGACGGTCGAGCTGCTCCTGCGTCAGTGTTGCGAGATTAAATTCGACCATGGCGGGGGTGTCAAGCAAGCTTAGCAAGAGCCTTTGTTGTGGCCGTGCGTGCTTACGAGAGAGCACTTCGAGCGGCGGTGCTTGTTCGCTGAGAGACGTCTACCCCCTCCAAAAAATGAGATAGTGAAGGAAGCGAAGGTGTGGGAGCGGTCCGAGAAGAGATTGTAGGCTCTGATACCAAGTCTTACGAATGCAATTGAGCGAGCGAGCGAGAATTGCACTATCGAAGCAAAACAATACATTGGGCGAAGGCATGAGCGAAGAATATATAGCGAAGCTACAATGGTAATGGTAATGCATGAAAATGTGGTGCGCGACGGGCCTAGCGCCGAGGTTGGGAATTGTTGAGGCGGAGGTCCGAAGCGCGGGTTACCAACCGAACCGTGAGGTTGGGTCACGTTGTGAACAGTGGCAGGAACAGTAGTCGAGGTGAGTGTCGCGAGTGGTAACGGTTTACTGTTGGGTGCTGTTGGTGGGAACAGTGGTGTACGCGCTGAGCAGGGACGCGAAGTAAGAAAAATCTTATAAATAGGAAATAATTGTGCGCCGCGACGTGATTCCCATTTTGCTCAATCCTGTGGAACACCCCCGCACCGCCCTCCTCGTTTTTTATTTCTCTCAATTCCATGGACTGCCACTTGTTTCTACACCCGCCATCACGGTGCGGTTGTTCTGCGTATTCTTCTTGTCAGAATGTTATTCTCTAGCCTGTAGTGGGGTGCTCTATAGCGAGTACAACCCATCTAGGGTTTGCTATATGTATCCTCATTGCTGCTAGTGAAAACCCTCCTCTTTTGCCTAAACTTCTCTTGCCTAGCTAGGACTTACCTAGCTATGGCTCCTAACTCTACACATTATCTTCACACTTCTTTCTCGAGGTTAGGGTCCCAAAAATCCGTTGCTTTTGCGTGATAACGAATCTGACGCAATTCCGATTCAATGATTGCATACCCAGCGTAGGAGCTGTCTTTTTGCGCGACTGCAGCCATGATCCATACTGGCGTTGTGATGCACAGTTGCACGAGGGCGGTAGATGTTTTGTTGTTGTGTGTGATTCAGGTGTCTCTACAATGTTCCTCATAACCTACTGGAGCTAAGACTACTGCCTTGTGGGCGCGTTACATCAAAGTAATGAAGACCATTTCAAGGCGAGATCGTCGTATGCATACCACAGTAAGCCACTTTGCAGGTCAAATGTACCGTTTTGGACCAGCCGTTTCTTCCCGATTTCGGACAATAACTTATTTTATTACCTTTATGTACTGCGCCCTTACATGAGCATTCAAAATCATTCACTCCACCCGCACAACAACTGATAGTGACTTCCAAATCTAAGTATCACTGAACCTAAA